GCCCAGGATAGAGAAAAGTGGGGGGTGTTTGTCCGTGGCCTATACCCTGGTGCAGGGTGAGAAAGGCAATGATGATGATGATTGTACATTTAGTTACTAAATACAACACTCAGCAATTCAATGTAATGAAATAATATTTAGCTCAGTGATGGAAGTAAATCCCAAAAAAATTATACGAACTTAACAAGAACAACAGCTAGACAAAATAAGAAGAAAAAAACTCACTTGTGATTGGCTCCAATCAGAACTATCTTCGACGTCTTTTTGAAGAAACTTCCAAAGTTGACACGAGCCATCAGATAGCAAAAATGACTAGCGTGCAAGCAGCCTTTAGATGCTGGAAATAGAAATCAATTTTGTTAAAATAAAAACAAAAATAAAAATAAACCACAAAATTTATCTTCTTCCACATTTGACCTGTCATTCAGAAATGACCCTTCCTCTTTGAAGTTTTGAAAATTTCTCTTAAAGTGACATTGTTCGTCCAAACCAAATATGCAAGAACCAGTGTCAGTGGTGTTGCAGTTAGTATCTTCCCTACTGAAAATAGAAGATATGAGTTTGATCCCTGAATGGGGAAAATTTCTTGATTTAGTATTTCTTTGTCAGAATGTTGTATCCCTCTCAGCCAAGGTTAGTCCTAACAGGCAGAGTCGAAACAGCCTCCAAATTGTGTCGATAGGGGCGTAAAACATTTCCAAGTACTTGAAGATTATATATAATGAGGAACAAAAAGACAAGAGAACACAACCTACCCAGTGTGTCTCCCAGCGTGCTGATACTCTTGAGGTCAAGGTCTTGACGAGACGTCTGGTTGGACAAAATCATGGCCAGATGAGGGCGCCAGTCTCCCCATCTCTCGTCCACAACACACTGAGGATAGAGAGAGATAGGGTGAGTGTGAGAATGTGTGTGTGGTGTGTGTGTGTGTGTGTGTGTGTGTGTTTGTGTGTGTGTGTGTGTGTGTGTGCACAAGTGTGCATGCGAGCGTACGAGCGTGTGTATGGGTGCGTGTGGGTCTGTGTGTGTGTTGTGTATGTAAGTACTGGGTTATGTTTTAGTAAGTGTTTTACGGCACTTGCAACACAGCAAGGTCATATAAGTGCTGAAGATTAGAGGTGTTACAAAAGAGTAACAAACACAAAAAAGAAGGAGGAGAGACAAAGACGATAGATGTTTGATAGGAAAGAAGAAGCAAACCACACCAGAGCACCCGCCAACCACCCACGTACTGGGTTATAAACAGCAATTTTTCAAAGTGGCCTCAACACACCAACAAAGACAAAACTGTAAACGACACAACTGAGCATGATAAAAACTTACACAATAGCCAAAAAGACAGCAAATGTAGAAAAATTATGAACAGGAGGATAAATATGGTAGCGCCTTGACACCTTTTCAACACCTTAAGATTCTTTAAGAGGCCGGACCTTTGAATTTACAATCCAAAAGGACCAAGGAGAGCCAAGAGTCTTGAACCTCCCTCCCCCAACTACCCACATTAAAAAAATGCCACGTTATTGTCTCTTTTTTAGTAGAGCTTTTATGGCGCTCGCAACTGCATAAGGTCATATGAGCGCCAGAAGATTAGAGGTGTTACAAGAGAGTAAAAAACATAAAAAAGAAGAAGGGGAGATAAGGACCATAGATGTTTGATAGGAATGCCACCCACAATGCCACGTTAAGAGATTTGCACTTGGGTCACTCACAACATAGCCAAACATAATACCAACAAAGCTAACAGGGCAGCCTGAAAAAGAGTGATGATCAAATGACATTCAAATAGACTAAAAACTGGCCCACTTGTTGTAAAACTATTTAGCTTTTAATCTTAGTAAGAATTTTACATCACTTGCAACACAATAAGGTCATATTGGCCCCGATGATTAGAGGTGTAACAAGAAAGTAACAAACACAAAAAAAGACAGAAGATAAGGACCGATAGATCTTTGATAGGAAAAAACGAGCAAACCACACCAGAGCACCCGTCAACCACCCAGGTAGTATAACAATACAGGGACCCACTAGTGGTCAAGACTCACAGTGACAGCAGCCGGCTGCCTCCCAGACATGAGCTGGTACAAGGTCTGCAGCGGATCGTTCATTCTCATGGCACTGTTGGCAAATCTGGAGGGGAGGTGAGGGTGGAAGAGAGTTCATTAGCCTGCTGGCAAAACAATGATCAGATATAACCCCAATATGAGGGGAACACCACGTCGTAGCAGACAGAGAGATACTCAGATACAGTAAGTTTCAGACACTCAAATCTAACACATCTACAAAGTGGACACTCAACTCCCTCAACTCAAAACCTGTAAATAATAATAACAATAAAACATAGATTGCATTTTTTAAAAACAGATCTCTACTAGAAAGTACAGTAGTCTCCGCATAAGATCTCGGTGCTCAGGAGCAGGGAAATGCGGGATCTTAAGCAAAGCGGGATCTTAACAGACGAACCCAGGAAAGAATCTATGGTGACCCATGCTAAGGCTCACAATCTAGTAAAATGGTCTCCCTCCACTCTAAAATGAACTGACGTGACCGCTTGGTGGGTTTATGACATATGGCGAGCAAAGAGTGGTTAACCTTGATGACCTATTACAGTGCACAGTGGCATGAGGCGTGCCATTTTCACTTATTATAATATCATGAGTCTCAAGATCCACGCTTATCCGGTTGCCCTCCCCCTTACCTAAAGAAAATTTATAGCTTTCCATCTCTGACCACCCCAAAAGATCTTAGAACATTCTGAGACATTCACAGCTTTCTGACATCAGAAGCTACAACTGCAGGTCTCCGTTCTGAGCTTCTTGCTGATAAATTGTGTGCAAATCTTCAACAGGCTCAACATGCTCCTGCCACCCCACCCCCCACCCACCCCCACACACACACACACAGAGTACTGACCTGGTCATGACACTAGCGTGTGTCCGAGTGTCCATCTTGCTGGCCAGGAAGAGGGCGTGTCCCCACAGGTTGTTCTTCATGGCACACTCCAGAGCGTCCTGGAAACCAGAGATTGGGCATTGTGAAGGTTTTACACCCACAGTGGCATAATTTACATCACTTTCAAGGTGGAATGTACCAAATCAGTTATCACCCCATGTTTTGAGACAACATTTTTTTTCAACAGCAAATATGTAAATGGAGCTTTGAGGAACAAAGAAATGACCTTAACAAATATGTAAATGAGAAACAAAGAAATGACCGTAACACATATGTAAATGAGAAACAAAGAAATGACCTCACAAATATGTTTTTATGAGGATTTATTGAAACTTCACTTTCTATTCCATGACCTATTGTTGATGAATCGAGACACTAGAAGAATTAATTTTCATAGCTTATTTTCTTTCTCCCATAAGTAAATAAGTCTACAACACACCCTTCTTTTTCCTACAAGTCAACACATATATTTATTACTCACCTTTTTCTCCTATTAGTCAACATGTCTATAAATCACCTTCTCTCTCCCATACACCAAAATTGTGTCAGATGTCTTCAACTCACCTTTTTCCTCCCATAAGTCAACATGTCTAAAACTCACAAGTCAACATGCCCATAAATCACCTTCTCTCTCTCATACAATAACATTGTCTGATGTCTATAAGTCACCTTTTTTCTCCTATAAGCCAATATCTCTATAAATCACCTTTCTGCAATACACCAAAATTGTACCTGATGTCTATAACTCACCTTCTTTCTCCCGTAGGTCAACACATGTCAGATAACTGTAACTCACCTTCTTTCTCCCATAGGTCAACAAATGCCGGAATCTGTCAATCCACTCCTCCCTCTGCCTGACAGCGCTGATGACCGTCCTGTCACTGGTTACTCTGACAGCCGGCGAGGCCCGTGAACTCCCCTCTCCTCCCTCCCCGTCTGTGCCATCCTCCAGCTCGGGGCTCTGTGACACCCTCAGACCACCCAGACTGTACTGGTGGGTCCCAGGTTCGTGTCCCTCCAGGAGCAGATCAGACAGGTCTGTGCCCACCACCGACTAAGAAGAAAAAGAGACAAACAGATAAAAGAAATTTTTAGAAAAGAAAAGAAAGAAAGGAAGATTTTTAAAAAAAATAGAACTGAAGAGAGAGCTGATAGGAGTAAGATAAAAGCACAACAAATAGAAACGAAGCGGGGGGGAAAAAACAACAGCCTTGATTCAAGAACCTTTGACAGGAAGAGATGAAAAGATAAAGGAAATTCATCATTATTACTATAATCAATATCATTATATTTTAAGAGGGACCTTTCTGCTTCTGATGAGCAGAGGCAAGGGAAAGTATGACTACATCAGGAATATTATCATTAATATTAATATCATAATTACTATTACTATGAATATCATTGTTACTCTAAATTCTAAATGACCCTATGCAGCTTAGTGAGCACACGACAGAACATATGTGCACATTATTAACCCTCTGCGTGCGCATCACGACAGTAGTGATGACCCATACCTCCCTTCCGCGCATTGCGACCACCGGTCGTGATCCGACATGAGTGTAGAAATTATACCACTGACATGATAATAGCCATTTTTTAAACTGCTGGTGACTACAGTCCACCAGTGCAACGTTTATTAGTGCCGCTGGCAGCGCATTTCGCAGTCGGGGATCGGTTGGGAATTCTTTATCGGCAATTTTCTGGGATATTGTTTAGTTTTCAAAATGTCGGACTCGTCGGCTGATTTAGACTCAGATTTACCCAACATTTTTCTGGAATCGGACCACTGTGATAAAGAGTTAGAAGGATTAGGTCCTCAAATAAAAGATTTACATCTACGTGTGAATGATGGGGATATTGTGTCGTAGATCTAAATCTAGATCTAGCGAGGTTAAGCCCCGAAGGGGACGTTGATATTCCTGCTGATCTCGAAGCAGACTGGACTAAAAATGATGAGGATTTTGATACCAACAACATCATTAAAAAACACATCTGACCAGACATAAGGGGACTTCATTGTTTAAGACACATTTTTCCTTCTTATTGTAATTAGAAATTATGATAAATAAGAAAGATATGAGCTTTTTCTAACGCCATGTAGAAAATTAGCATTTTTCTAAAATAAACCTAGCATTGAGGGGAAGTAATGGTAAAAATGGCTTAGCGCTTAGAGGGTTAATGTTATTAATATTATCATTTTTATTATCATAGCATTATAATTGCAACTGACCCTGTTCTCCTTGATGAACAGACTTTGAAACAATGGCTATGTTATGTTTTTAAATCTTTTTTAATTGATCTTTTTCTTTGGAGGGGGGGGGGGCTGTGTCCAATTTCCTGGTGCCATGTAAATGATCTTATTCATATCAGACAATTATTGACTATGAGAATGTGAGTTCGTACAACGATATTTCAACACACAGATAGAACAATAAATTTTGAGAGTATGTACAACATAAATCATTATTATTAAAAACATTATCATTACTTTCAACATCGTTCTAATTGTGACTGACCCCATTCTGCTTGATGAGCAGTTCCAGAAGTCTCCAAATGAGCTGTGCTGACTCTCTGTCCACCATATCCACCTGGTCCACGCACGCACGGGCACGTAGCTGGCAGAACAACAGGACATCTTTCTTGTGGCTAGACGTTCTGAGGACATACGCACAACATACACAAAAGTAAATGACGTTGTTGTGGACCCACATACAACACAAACATTAATAAACATGACATTCTTGTCAACAAACTCATATAATACACCACACTCTTGTCGTTGCTGGCTCTGCGTACACACACACACACACACTGCATACCCACTAGTTACACAACATTTAGAGACTCGCTGAAGATAAAACTGTTTAGAGAAATCCACCAGAGGGAGGAACATTCCACAACCAGTAGAAACAAGTTGGGATTCCAATCTGACTGGAACCTTCAATCTCCCTGATGCCATTTAAATCTGCAGTCAAAAGAAAGAGAACATCCTCAACTTATTCCGTGTGTTCACAGATACTGTACCAGCATCTGCAGTGTAGTATTTACGCACTTCACCATTGCACACAGAAGATGGGAGTTCTGTTGGGAAAGATTTCTTTTTATTCTGCTGAGACACTGTATCTTTCGCAACCAAGGTTGGCTCCAACAGGCAGGGTCAACGAAACCTGCCTCCTTAATGATCTAAATTGTGTTGATTGAGGCATAAAACACGGACAATTACACTTTTTTTCCAACAGACACCTTACCTTGTGAGAGGTCCTGGGAAAGCTCTCAACTCCTCTGCCTCCGGACAGTTCTCCAAGACACTCTGTACCTCCTGCACCTCTACAATGGCCGGCTGACCGTCGGTGGGCCTGTTGGGCAACACCTTGACCAGTTGACCGTTGGGGCCGAAACAAGCCCGCACATGGGGGTAGGAATACTTTGGAGGGGTCAAACGACCCTGGTCGTAGGCTGTGGAGGACAAGAACAAGTTATCATCATCCCTTTGAGTTTGAGTAAAGAGACGCACGTTGATCAATAATCAAAAAGAGTTACATACTGCTTTGGGGGGGGGGGGGGGGGGTGAAGAAAGTCAAATAGAAACAAAGGAGGGAAAGAAAAAAAGTAGGCCTACCAATGATGCCCTTCAGTCACCCATGTGATCCCTTTATTTTTCGAGAAATCTCAACACATCACTTCATATAGTATGAGTCAATTTCAAGCCCCACAAAAACCAGAAAGAAGCCCTCATATTAACATTGTTTGAATTATTCAATAAGCATCTCGATACAGGAAAAACAACAGATTTTAAAAATCAAGGGGGCTTATTTCTCTGTTAGCTTACAGAAAAGCACATAGATACAATAATGGTCATTTAGTGAAGGGAAAAACCAAAAGAAGACATACAGAAACAACAGAGGGAAACAAAAGAAGTAGGACCTACTAGTGTAGGACCTACTAGTGTATGTCCACTAGTGTATGTCCTACTTTACTTTTACCAAAAAAATTTGATACTGTCAACACCAAAACACACAATGACAACGTAAGACCTACTAGTGAGAGTCCTACTTTACTTCTACCAAAACATTTGATGCCATCAACACAAAAACAGACGATGACTGCATCGTGCCAACACAGACCCTGTCCATAGTCCTCATAGCCAGGGTAGCCATAGCCGTAGTTGTAAGGGTCGTAGCCGTATCCCTCATGGTAGCTGTAGGGGTCGTATGCATAACCATGGCGACCATAGTATTCGGCAGCATAGTCTGCTCGGCTGGGGGGACGGGAGCCGCGGTTGTAGTAGTCACTGGGAAGGGGAGAAAGGGGGAGAACCTTAGACATTAGCCACACGTCAGTGTCATTGGAGATTGTAAATTGCAAGGGTTAATCTCAATTCAACATTGTTAGGTTAAAACTATCTGAGATATGATCTCTGAAGCTATCTCCACCAATAGGTCCCAACCAAGTGAGGGGAAAGCCTTAAAAAAAAACACCTCCCCTTCTACACGCAACCAAAGTTCCTGAATGTCCCACTTGGGGACTTGAACCGGTTCTGTTCTCACTAAGCCCCTCTGTGATACCAGCTGAGACAACAGATTGCCCATTTTCAGTATGAGAAAAGCATAGTGTTAGTTTAGTACTACAATTAAAAAGAGCACAGTGACACAATAATGGTCATTCAGTGCTGGGAAGAAGAAGGCAGACAGGCAGAAATGAAAAAGAGAAAGAAAAGAAGGGGGTGGGGGGGGGGGGGAGTGTGAAGAATGGTGGAAGTTAATACAAAACTGAACCAACAAATCTATAAAGAGAATATACATAAAATATAAGATAAATAACACACTCATACTCCTATTAGTCTTAATCATTCTTCATATGTTCAGGTATCAAAAAGTAAAATATGAAGAATGACATCATGCTTTAGACAGGGTTGACAGGCAAGAAAGTTCAAGACAAGCTGCTGTTACTGTAATAAACATAATGACAATTACAACAAGAGGTACTGTAGGCAAAGCAGGACATTAATATTTGCATATTAATCAGCATATCAAATGCAAGGGAAGACAAGGGGCAAAACAAAAATACACACTGACGATCTTGCCAGAAATAAGAGTCACACATTATTCATTCAAGAACAATTTCACTTGAATCCACAATCCCCCCCCCCCTTCTCATATATCGTCACTATAACAAGAAATATCAGCTTCTACTCATCCTGTAAAGCAGGGTCTAACTGAGTTACTCATTTTTCTAACAGTGATATATTTTAAAGAAATGATTTTCTCCCAAACGTTTCAATTATAAACCAATGTGTGATGGTACTTTTAAGCACTCACAATCTCTGAAAATTTAAAAAAATTAAATGTCTACCTAAAAGGAAATCTCTTTCCTTCACCTGGTCCAGGGTTCATATTTGAAAACATTCAGAACACAGGTATCGTATAATTACAAGCATCTCGTAGAAAAATGAAAGGGTTGATTTAAAAAAGTAGACGTGACAGCCAAAAACCAAAGTTCCAACTACAATCTACACAATAAGGGGATAACGTCTGCAATTTTGGAAACCAAACTTCCCCATAAGGATCTATAACAAGGGAATTTCATTAGATTTATCATTTTATTTATTTACAAAGAGTACATACAAAAGACAATTTGCCTACAATTTATATTCTTTTTCTACAAGTGCCAGATCTGACAGATACCTTTGATAATGGTGCACTATTTTGCTATAATGCTCTTCAAAAAAAATCAACCCCCCCCCCAAAAAAACCCCAATATTATCCAGGTCTTTTCTCCTCACGCATCTGTGCAAGATGCTGGACCCAAAAGTCACTCTACACAACCACATCAACTTTCTGTCCTTCTAAACTATTGAAAGGGACAGAAAAAATAGTTTTAAGAACTGCCGGCATTGTTTATGGCTATTGCCTGTTTGATGAGGAAATCTATAACATCTTTCTGTTCCACTTTTTTTAACTATGAAGAAGGAAGCGGACAGTTGGTCACAAAATACAATTTCCAAAATGTTAACCTTACAAAAAAGATGAAATGATGCTTTTAATCAGCGGCAGGAAAATTTTCAGATTTGTCTAGATCTATTATATTCATTACAAAAAAAAAAAGAAGATAATTTGTCCGAAAACATCATTATTACAATCTTAACCTTTCAAATTAAAAAAGAAGGTGATGTTTTTGTCAAAAGTAAAATGCCCAACACAGGAGAAGACATTTCTAAGCCAACGTGGACTCAACCTGTCACTCCACAGGGACATCAAAATCTTTTAACAATTGCAATGCTGCACCTGCCTCTATGATACCCACAATGAACTGTGGCTGAACCCAAGGTTTTGTTGTAAATGTCTCTTAACCTTTTTAAACCTTTGGTTTGTTTGCCATAAATGGTGAACTTAGCATTGAATAGACACAACAGAGAAAAGTTGTCAAAGTGGACATGTTGAAATATAAGACATTTCAGACAGGTCGTTTTGTATTATGTCGATAACCATAGCCATTTATAAATGAGTTCTTTTAATTCTTGTTTGCATGAGTTAACATGAGCACCCGCACAAAAACAGCCTGTAACGCATGAGTAAACATGAGCGTCTGCACAGACAGAGCCCATCATACATAAGTTAACGCGAGTGCCTGCACACATCTGGTGGCCACAACAAAAGTTTTACCCAGTGGGAGGAGGTTCGAGGCCTGGTGTGTTGCCTCGAGACTGATTGCGAGACTGACTGCGGGACTGACTTCTGCTGGAGGAACGCTCCACTTCCTGACTGCTGTGTCTGTGAATCTGGGACTCAACAGCCCTCTGCTGTTGCTGCTGCTGCTGCTGTTGCTGATAATATTCTGCATGCCTGCATCACGGTGCACAGATTGAAGGAACACAAACGGGGGGAGTAGTAATGTGAAGCAAACAAAACCAAAAAAAGTGTGAGATTATTCAAACTCAAACTGAGGTAAAAAAAAGGAAATGTGAAACACCAGATAGGATTAGCGTTTGGAGGCAGCAACAACAACAACACCAACACAACAACGTATGTGTGAGGAACGTAAACATCTATTGAAACAGGCACTGGGGAAGATACGATACTAGCATAACAACATATCGTCAGCATCATTCTACTTTTGCTTCAATCAATTTCGGGGGGGGGGGTGGGTTTCTACATAAAGCCATAATTCAAACAAAGACATCACGAGCATCTTACAATACAGTGTACTACTACTTCTGTTTATTCATTTACTTCCTAATTTCTTATACAAAAAAATAAGGAATAGTCATACTCGTGGTTCTGATTGGGTCGTTCTTTGTTTTCTTTAATTCAAAATATGACTTAGGTGCTTTTCAAATGTCGCTGACGATAGGTGAAAAGTTCATAAACATCTATTGGTACAGACATGGGGAAAGGATTCGGTCAGGCAGGGTGATAAACATGGGAGAGGGAAAACATCATGTCATTGCGTCTCTTGTCAGGGGACATTTCGAAGGTAGGAACAATCCCCCCCCCCTTTTTTTTTCCTTTTGGCTTACGAATCAAAGACAAAAACCAATAGAATGTAATAACTTTTATTTCACTTTTCATCTTATGAATGGCCATATTTGTAAATGAGCTTTCAGATGGTGTGGGGGGGGGATGGTGTATGCATGGGGACAGGAATGGAAAGCATGGCAAGATTACTTGCAAACAAAGTGCAGGGGTTGATGGGTATAACATCTTTTTCCAACAGGTCTCATAATGCAAATACTGATGTGACCTTTGTGATAGGGAGAAAAACAACCTTTTCAACAGCACATCTAGAAATGTTGAATTCTTTCTATATCTCATCAAACTCTGGAGGAACAGGGGAGGCTCTTTGAACACACCATTCTCACAATGCCAAAGGAGACTAGAGATCATGCTTATGTACCCATCCTCATGTGCGCAAGAACACATTCAGATGATTCAGCAGGCCAAAACAACATCCATGCTGGGTTAGTCTCTGAGGCAAACAACTCAATATGCAGCAAAACGTTTACTGTTTTACTAGACACAAAAGCAGCATAGAGAGAGAGAGAGAGAGAGAGAGCAGAGACAGAGAGTGACCGCGAGAGGGAGAGAGAGAGAGAGGGAGAGAGGGAGAGAGAGAGAGAGAGAGAGAGAGAGAGAGAGAGAGAGAGAGAGAGAGAGAGAGAGAGAGAGAGAGAGAGAGAGAGAGAGAGAGAGAGAGAGAGAGAGAGAGAGAGGGAGAGAAAGAGAGAAAGAGAGGGAGAGAAAGAGAGAGAGAGGGGGAGAGAAAGAGAGAGAGAGAGAGAAGAAAAGATATAAGGAGAGGGGGGGATTCAAGATTCAAAATGATGTATTGATTTGAAAGGCCTTTGGCCCATACATCCACATATTTTAACATATGGTTCGGCAATTACATACGTATAAGGAGAGGGGGGAGAGGTAGAAGGAGAGGGGGGAGAGAGAGAGAGAGAGAGAAAAGAAAGTGTGTGTGTGTGTGTGTGTGTGTGTGTGTGTGTGTGTGTGTGTGTGTGTGTGTGTGTGTGTGTGTGTGTGTGTGTGTGTGTGTGTGTGTGTGTGTGTGTGTGCGTGCGCGCATGCACGCACACATATTTGACAGTGTATGTGTGCGATAACCCTGCATTATACAGATGTGTCCAGGTTTGAAAATGTGCACACACATAAAAACACACATTGCTTACACCCTTTCGTTTTGAGTAAAGAAAAGCGCACATCGACACAATAATGGCCATCTACAGTTGGAGGAAAAGAGAAAGACAGACAGACAGAAACAGCAGAGGAGGGGTGGATAAAGAAGTAGGACGTGCCAGTGACAACCTTCAACCACCCATCTGTTTACACCCAAATTTTCAACAAAATACTTTTCTCCAGAGAAAGTCATATAGGAAAAATTCTGCAGAAAGGTCACAAAAACACCAATAGCAGACTTACATCAAGCAGCCAGTTCACTCCAGTTAGAGGGAATCTATTGGGTTTGGCATAAGAGAAAGGGGTTCAACTACCAACTTGTGCACATTTCAGCTTGAAAGGTGCCACTGGTTGGTCTTACTTCTGTTTTTTTCCTCTGCTATAACTGTCTGTCTTGCTTTTTTCCTCCTGCCATAAAATAACCATTATTTTGTCGACGTGCTTCTTTTTACTCACAGACGAACAAACAAACAAAAAGAACACCATGAAATTCTCACCAGTAAGTTTTGTTTGGAAAACTACAGTGCTACGGGTAAATGACAATATGATAGGGGGGGGGGGGGGGGGGGGGATTTACAACCAAAACCGAGACCTTCCATGTGGGTGTGGAAATCTATAGGGACAGAAGTTCTAGGGGAGGGAGAGGGGTTCTGTGGGTGGGTAAGGGATTCTGTGGGAAGGAGAAGAGAGGGGGTTCTGTGGGAAGGAGAAGAGAGGGGGTTTTGCAGGAAGGAGAAGAGAGGGGGTTCTGCGGGAAGGAGAAGAGAGGGGGTTCTGTGGGAAGGAGAAGAGAGGGGGTTCTGTGGGAAGGAGAAGAGAGGGGGTTCTGTAGGAAGGAGAAGAGAGGGGGTTCTGTAGGAAGGAGAAGAGAGGGGGTTCTGTGGGAAGGAGAAGAGAGGATGTTTTGTGGGAAGGAAAAGGGATTCTGTGTGAAGGAAGGGGGGTTCTATTTGAGGTTAATGGCTACAGAAGGCCAAAGCGACAACAACAAGCAGCTAAAACGGTGGACCTACCTTGCCCCATAATACTCGTCGTAGTAACCTCTGGCGTAGCGCGCCTCCCTGTCTTTGTAGTAGCGGTAGTAACGTTCTCTCTCCTCGTTGTAGTAGTCCTGATGCCGCCCGTAGCTGTCGTAGCCCCCGTAACCTGTAGCCAACAAGAGTTGTAAGAGTGAATGTTTTACACTGCCATCCACACAGTTTAGATCATTTAAAAAGCCAGGCTGCTTCCACCCTGCCAGCCTGGGCCAACACAGGCTGAGAGAGATACGGCACTCAAGTAAACAGGAGGAGATACTCGATTTAATGAAGAAAAAAACCCTCTCCCACAAAGGAGTCGATTTCATGTAGAAAAAGCTGATTGAATGTACCTGATTCTCAATATGTATGTTGACGAAGACAAGATAAAAATCCTGGATTAACGCCTTTTAGTTACATAGACTGAAGATACTCAGCTACCCGTCTACATTGAAAAAAAGCAAACGTTCAAATTCTGTAGATAGTCCTAAACGAACAAAATTTCATGTGTGAAAAGAAAAATTTCAGTCCAAAACATTTTATACACTACCCCCCCCCCCCCCTTTGTAAAAAAATATCAGACACCCCACCACAAAACGAGACGCTATTACCTCTCTGTCGGTCTCTGTAGTAATCTCTTTCTCTGTCGTAGTCAGCCCGTGACTTTGGTCTGTCTGCATCTTGCGCTGACCTTGAGGATGGACGACTCCCACTCTTTGTTTCGTCTGGAAGAACAAATGTGCACACTAAGTAGACGCATTGACTATAATTGTACCACTTTCACATCCTCATCAATGCAACTCATATCATTAAGGAGGCAGGCTGTATTGACACCCCCTGTCAGGGCCAGCCCTGGCTGAAGTGGATACATCTCAACAAACAGATGATAAAAATGTTGTGTTTTTTTTCAGACACCTCAGTTTTTGTTAGCTGTTTGTTTTTTTCGCTCTAATTGGCCTGTGTCTAAAGATGGAAGTAGGCCACTACCTGTAAGTTGTAAGAGGTAAACTGTCAGAATTTTTCAATTTTGTGGGAACTGTTCAAACTTTGGTAATGTGCATGTGAAATTGTTATCTTAGTCTTTCCGATGTCACCACATCTATAACGGCCAACCAACGGAGGCTTGGCTTACCGTGCCTAGATCGTGGCCTCTCGTATCTCTCGTCATAATAGCTGTCCCCATAGTCCCGGTAGTAGCCTCGGTACTTCCTGTATGGGTCATCCTTTCCATATGCCTCAGCGCGGCTGGACGGGCGGTCAGTGCGACTGGCAGGCCGCTCGTACTGGTACTGACCACGGCTGTATGACCGCTCCTTCGAGTACCGCGGGTCCCTTGCCTCCCGCGGGTCGTTACGCTGATTCCGGTAACCTTTGTCCCTGCATAAATTAGTGGGGAAAAGAGAATATTGAGTTTTCCACATTTAGCCCGATAAGTACGATAAATATCTTGTTTGTCTAAGTAAAGAGACGAATATTGACACAATAACGACAATCAAACAGTAACTTATACTTAGCTAGATATAAATAAATCAATATAACACGACATAGGCAATAAAATTTTTAATCTCACTCACATGCCCCCAACAATAAAAGATCGGCAGTAAAGATACACTCAGTGACCAACGCACCTTGCAGAGTCCCTATTGTAATCAGCGTCGATCTCATCCAAGGAGTCAAACGATCGATTCACATCTTCTCTCTCTCTGTCTTCTCTCCTTTGTTCTGACTTCCTGTCTGACTCTTTACTCTGGGCCTGAAGGTATAGAGAAAAACACACACTTTAGGTAAGATTACAGATAAAAACAGCAGGGATTTTTTTGGTGGGAAGGGGACAGCTACATATACTCGCAGAGTAGTAACTTACCTCATCCAGTTCTTGCAAGTAACATAATATTATATTCACTTCTCAGCATGCACCATTCTTTTCTTTCATGGTTCATTAGTTAATTTTGTTGTTGTTTTCTAGCTGCTGTTTGTCCTTTGTCTTATTGAATGGGGGGGGGGGGGGGTTTGTTTTTTTTTTTTGGGGGGGGGGGGGGGTTGTTTGTTGTTTGATTGTTGTTGGGGGGGGGAGAATGTACCTGCTGAGTGGTAAATATCATATTCTTGAAGCTTTTGTGTGCGGTGTGCTAACTCAACTAAACAGAAAATAAAACACTCCTAAGTCTGTAGCCTGGTCATGTGAACCACCACTAAACTGGGTTTGCAGTCTCAGCAAAGTCATGCACATCCATCCAATAGCCATCATTTCATGCTGGAAAAAAGCAAAGTAGACAAACAAAAACAATTGAGGGACAGTAAAGTTAAAAGAACCTACCAGTAGTTCCCTCCAGTCACCCATACAAATCTTGGAAATGGAAAACTAAACAAAAGAAATCTAGTGACAACAAAACTCACTTTGAGGCATGTACTGGACAAGTTATTCATCTTTCATCCACTATTTCTCTCTCCAGGCTTTCCTCATTGCTACCCTTTCCACTGACTGACTGCGACACATGGACCTAACGTCGCAACAAAAAAAGCAATGTCATCGTTACTTTAGCTCAACACTCTTCGTTTTAAAAAGAACAGAAAATCACTTACTGGTCTCTCTGCCTGGCCAGTAGTAGCCACGCCCGCTTCCCGCTTGTTCCCACCAGTCACCGATTTCTCTGCAGGTTTGTCCGAAGAGGCAGCGGCCGCGGAGTAGGGGTTGAGGGCAGGGATGATGAGTGGCATGGCGGGGGCCAGAAGGATGTTGGAGGCGGGTGCGGGATCAGAGTTCTCCCACAGTGTGGTTGCAGGCGACATGGCCGTCTGGCGGGCTCGACTCACGGGCTGGAAAGCTGAATGGTGGCGCCTCTGTCCTCCCGACAGGGCTCCTTCCTCCGACTCGCGAGAGTTACGTCTTCGCGGGTTTTCTTCTGGTTTAGATGACCGGGCAGGGCCCTGTGGTTGGGAACGTTTGGCATCGAGATCGAAATCTTTTCTGCTGGCTCGGCTTCCATCTTCGGTACCGGTAGCCACTTTTGGCTTTGAGGGTAATGCAGACATACCCTTAGGCTTCTGTTGTTCTACAGGATCTTTGGTTGGGGTGTCAGACGAAGAACTCGAAGGTGGAAAGTTCTGTGAGGGAGCACTGGTAGTAGGAGCAAACACCGGCTGACTACTGGCTGGAGAAGACGTAGCCACTGGCGGCTGCAGCATGGGGTGGCGGGGACTAACACCTCCACGACGAAACGGGTTTGTCGAGGCCTCTCCTGGAGAAGAGGACCCAGACACAGGGGGAGGTAACAAGGCTGATGGAGGGGGAGCCTGCACTGAGAGTGCTTCCCCTTGTTTTGCTTCGATTACTGCCGAGTTGTGCTGATCACTAACAACACCATCAAAGTCTTGAGTTCCTGTCCTAGACACATCAGGAGCTGCATGTTGCACAAGATTAGCTTCTGTTGCTGTAGGGGCAACGTGAGGGCGAACATCCCCTGAGGGACGGTCAGTGGGCCTAGTGTGCGAGTCACCACCGTCCTGTCCCTGCTCCGCACAGCCACCGCCACCATCTGGTTTGTCAGGGAGGAAGGCCAGGCTGTTGTCCAGAGAGCTGTTGCGACTGTGCGTCTGAGACTGAGGGGGGACAATCTCCCAGTCTGCTAGACCCGACGAGCCGCCAGACGCCCCCGACCCGCCAGACTCTGCCGATCCCGGCTGGTCTCTGTCAGGGGACGAAGACCTCACACTGGTGTCTAGTGGCAAAGAGTGGGGGGTCACGTTATAGCCAGGACTTCCAAAACCCGAGTAGTCCCCCAGGTGGGGGTGAGACTGTCGTGAGACATCCCCAGAGTCTGGGGGAGCGTACGATGGGTTGGGCGGGGTAGGGACGGGCTGGTGGGCCCCATCCTCTACCGCCTGATCCCTTCCTCCCCCAACACCCCCACCTTGACTCCTGTCCTGTGCGGTTCCAGACAGGTGAACCTCCTCCATCTTCTGCACCAAGTTCTGAAGATCATTGAGCGACGCTTTTCCTTCATCGTCTTCCATAGTGGACTGGTTTAGGGTGGACAAACTGGCATTGCTAATCTCCGAGTTAGTCCTGTGGAAGTTGGAGTCCACAGAGAGGTTGCCGGACACCAAGGGCGGGGCTGCCCCAAGGTCAAATGCTCCCTGCCGAGGGAACTTCTGCGAGTCAGACAGCACATCTCCGTCGTCGTCTCCACGACCGAAGAACCCAGACACTGTCCCGTCTTCATCATTGTCATTGTACAGCTCTAGACCAGGACCTGCGGCAGCTGGCTGTGCTCCCTGACTAGTTGCAGAATGGCCCGACTCCGAGACCAAAGGTGCATTTTCTCCCCCTGGATGCTGGGACACCGCTGGGGGCGGATGCGGGGGCGGATGCGGGGGCGCTGCAGGATTTTGGCTGTCCGCAGCCACCAGCTGGGGTTGGAAACCCGCACCCCAGTGCCCAGCGTCGCTTGTGGGAGCCCAGGCAGTAGCGTCAAAAGGCTGGTCATAGTAGTCGTGGCTCTGGCCATGCTGGTACTGCTCCTGACCCTGGTCATAATAACCCTGGGCCTCACGCGGATACTGGGGCTGCCCGGGGCTACCCTCAGGGGGATATGAGGGTTGTCCAGGACTACCCTCTGGGGTTGGCTGGTTATGATGTGGTGGTTGTGGCTGTTGTTGCTGTTGCTCTTGTTGTTGTTGAGGCTGTTGTTGCTGCTGCTGCTGCTGCTGTTGTTGAGGTTGTTGTTGTTGTTGTTGTTGTTGTTGTTGTTGGGGTACTTGCTGCTGTAAATAGCCCTGACCATCATACATCTGCTGGGGTTGCTGGCTGTACTGAGGCTGTTGGCCAAAGCCGTCAAAGAACTGCCCCGGCTGCAGCTGGGAGTACTGAGCCCCGGTGTCCGGCTGCGCGTATCCCGTGCTGTTCTGACCATAGGAGCCTGCCCCGTCCCAGCCGTGATTCCATGCGGTGCTGTACTGACCAGCCCCGTACTGCTGCTGGCTCGCTGCACCACCACTGCTGCTGCCATCTTGTGACAGAACGTTGTGCTGCTGGTGACCTGGTGTGGCACCATGTTGTTGTTGTTGCTGTTGCTGTTCTCCCGTCACTGCAGCATTGTTACTGTCTGAGTTCCAATCCCAGCTACCCCAGCTGTTCCACGAGCTGTGGGCCCCGGACAGTGACGCAGCATTCTGACCGCCCGCCTGGGGGGGAGATGGATGCTGGTTCTGGTTGGAACCTGCGGGGTTCACATTTCCGTCAAAGGAAGACACTGGAGCTTGGAACTGAGTCGGGTCAAAAAGTTTCACTCCCCCAACCTGAGGCTGAGGGGGGGTGTACCCTTGTTGAAAGTTCCCTGAATTCCAGGCCTCGCTCATGCTGTTATGGAACCAAAACTTTTTTCATTTAATAAATTTACATATAAAGAGACATTACTGTTCATTAAAAAATTAGTAAAAATAAAAAGCAAATCATGGCTGATTGCAGATTGATGAATGGATTGTAATGATTTTGAATCCTATCAACACAAGTTAGATTAACTAGGAAGCAGGCCGCTTTGCCACTGGTTGCAAGGGCCAACCCAGGAAATACAGTCAACTAGAGGGTGGAAACTTCCTCACCTCCAAGTTCAAAATGTACTAGAAAAAAATGAGTCAGGTGGCCGGCCCGTTAACAGTCACTAATGTAATCTATGAAAGATAAGTGCAAACTTTACACTCAGCTCCCACCCTCACCCATAATACTCGGTGAGCACTCATACCTCAAAGTCAAAGTTATAAATTCGACTTTTATTTAAGTTTTAAAAGGGCAACTACATCCTATCCTTTACTTCATCTTGCTAATTTATAAAAGTTTTGCTTTTTTCTCTGATATAAAAACCAAACCCATGGTATACCTAGGAGACTCTTTCAATTATCATCAAAAGGAGACTTAAAGGTGCACAAAAATATACTGATTGAAATTGTATTTATACCTCATCCAAATATCATTTTTGCAAAGAGGCAATTTAATTATTTATCTCGTTCAAACTCTCAGAAAAATTCAAAATCAGGGAACTGATAGGTGTCTTGAGAATGTTTGACTAGTTAAAAAGAAACTACTTAGTAGATATTGGAAGAGTGCCCAGAAGTTAAAAGAGAACTAATTCTTTTTTAAGTGTCCAGCCTTGTCTTTCAATAGAACTACTTGCTTCAATTGTAATTTAAGATTGAATGTTAATGGAGATGAGAACAGAAGTGAAGAGGAAGATCTACCCATGAGAAGGAACGCTACCCTACACATGTACTGCGAAGAAACTCAATTCTCAAGATGCTTTTATAATGAAATAAAAAATTAATACAACATAGCCCAAAACAGAGGCCAGGGTGGCCTATTCAAAAAATTAATTAAATATCATTTAATAGCTGAGCAGATCTATAACACTTCTGCATGGAGCAAACAGGAGCCTGTGAGCAGTGCTTTCGTGTATGGAGGGTATGAACCAATACTAAGGGACCCTCTCTCTTTACGCTTCAATCTAAATTATAAAGACAATGTTGTAGAGTCCTGAAAGTTGGCAACCAGTCAAAAGAAAAGTAACTAAACATCCCAAGTTTTTTTGATTAAATTCAAAACCGAACTAACTCACCAAGTCTGCTTCTCAAAGTCAATTTTTTATTCGAAGTGGCTACGGCTAGCCTGAGAGTCTCACCGTACTTAGATCTAGGTTTGGCCCTATCAACTCAAACCTGTTGAGTACACAGGTCTCATTAGATCGAGATCTAGTAGTAATTATTCAGGTTTAAAATGCATGCAAGTCAATAAGGCACCTTTTGGTTTTGTCTGAAATACAAATACTTTAGGCATTGCAAACTAAAATTTCATTTACAACTCAGCCATCAATGTACGGCTAGCCTGACAGTCTAGACATCTTAAGTACGGCTAGCTAGCCGTCTGGACAAAAAGTTTAGCCATCCTTAAGTATGGCTAGCCTGCCAGTCTTGTCGTACTTATCTTAGGCCTTATTAACATAATTAGAAAACAGGTCTCATAAGTAATTGTTTAAAATACATGCACTGTCATTAAGGCACCTGGATTTGTCTCAAATACAAACTTTATCATGTACTGCAAACTAAAAATTTATTTACAATTCAGTAGGCTTTTTTTTTTTTTTTTTTTTAGGGGGGGGGGTCAGTCTTGCAATCATATTAAAAATAAGTATGGTTAGCCCAGCTGTACTTAAATACGGCTAGCCTCTTCCTTTTTTATTAGATGGGAGCCATCCGAAGATTTTTTTACAATTCATTTCTGTGGGTATGATGATGGCATGCAAATTTTTATTCAAAGTAAGCATCATTTCAAAATACAGCATGGCTATATTTTCGTTTTATGGGGGGAGCCTCCATGTAGAGATTAATGATGGGTCACTATGCTACTTCCCTATATGGGTGTATGATGTGAAAGAAGCAGGGAAAAATGGGAAGTGGCAATTCGAATAGAGGTGACCATTAGAGCAGGTTTGACTGCATCTCTGTATATGCAAATCTGGACCTTTTTAAAAACATTTTTTTTAGGCCGGCACTATTTCTCCGAACGTTCGGGAAAATAAAGCTGGGCACTATTTCTCAGAACGTTCGGGAAAATAAAGCTAAGCACTATTTCTCCGAACGTTCGGGAAAATAAAGCTGAGCACTATTTCTTCGAACACTCTGAAACCACATCCTTTCCTGCAAATTTCGGATATTATATAGAGTATAGGCCTACCAAAGATTGTTCGTATACAATGTGGTTCAATCGGTCCAAAAAAGTCCGCAGTAAATATTTATAAAGAATAAAATATGCTACAGTTCCAAACAATTTTTCGCTACAGATATGACGTGTTGCCTATGAAGGGTGCTGCTCTTAAACTTAATGTGTTGTGTTCACTCGTGTGCTGTCTAGATCTAGATCTACGGAGGGTTATTGATAACGACACATAGAACTAGCTTCTGCATTTGTCGCGGCCGCGACCAATCAATCGTGGCTCGATTTTTTGGCATTTTTTGGTCTGGGAATAAAAGTCAAATTAAAAAAAAGAAAAAAAAAGAAAGAAACCGAAACCTCTTTACTTTTGAAAGAAAGTTCACTTAGCTTCACTTAATCTCTTTCTCACTTGTTGTCACCACGTTGATTTGTTGAATACGTTACAGTTACTTTTATTTTCCCTCTTGACTCTTTGTGGTGTTTTATTTTGTTAGTCAGTAATTTTTTTTCTTGTTATTGTTCTGGTGTGTTGTTTTTCTACCATTTTTTGGTTGGGGAAAGGGGGGGGGGGGATGTTGCATAGTGTAACGTCAATTAATTTGATGTCCCTTCCTTCATTAGATTCTAAATATTTATACATGTATATATATATAGATTTAAATGTTTTATGTTAGAGCGTACGTTCCACCAAAACTGATTACATGTACTGACACTGGCAGGCCCCTTGATGTGTGTGATTCCATAATTTACATCATGTAATATCCTGTACTTTTTGTTAAAATTTACACACTTTTAGGGTTAAAACAGGCAATTTTCTTCGGACAGGTTGACACACACCCTTATTTGTTTATTTCTGTGGTTGTTTATGGGCTGTTCGACTAATTTTGATTTCATTCTGTTGTGATACCTTTCTTTTTCACGTTTTTACACTCATCTAAAAATCTCTAGACTAGCTCTTGAAAATTGAAATAGATATAGACCCCAAAATTTGCTTGTGTGTGTGTGTTTGTGTGTGTCTATGCATGTGCGTGTGTGAGTGTGTCTGTGTGTGGTAGTAAGTGTGTAAGTGGAGAGTGAGGAGTGTGTGTGTTTTTCGGGCTTTATTTCAGGATTTATTCAGTAACAGTTCAAAGTATACAAAAATAGAAACACAGGATCTATTCACTCCAGGGCTCATGAGTCGTTCCTCTCTTTCAGTCTCACTCATTCATTCAATTCCCGTGTTCTCTCCCGCGGCTCATTCCCGTCCTCATGACTTTCATACCCCACCCCCTCCCTCCAAGCACACACAAAGAAAATCTCACTCATTCCTTTGCACCCTGCGAACCATGGGGGGGGGGGGGGGGGTGTTGTCGTCTTGTAGTTGCTGTCGCCTGTGGATACACTCGTAAATTCTACCTTTCACCCGCTCTGTCACTCACACTGTCTCTCCATCCACAACTCAGCTCGTCATACGTTCAAAAGTTGCCCACTGATCATGTTTAGTTAGTGTGTTTATAAGTTTGTGTTTGTACATGTGCATGATGGTGGTGGATGTTGTTACTGAAGGTTGTATGTATGCGGGCTTGCCATGCGGTGTTCCTTTCCAGACCAGAGAGAGGCAGAATGAAAGTTGGCGCCGAACTCTCGCTATAAATAGGCTAAAAATCACGAGACCGGAAGCCGGAAACCGTTCGGAGAAATAAAGATCGGCACTATTTCTCCGAACGTTCAGAGAAATAGTCACTTCGTTTTTTAAAATCATTTTAAACATGTATATTTATCCTCCAATTTTCAAAATTCAAAAAGGATTGAGATAAAATCAACATTGACAATGTCTTTCTCATAGAACAAGTTTCACAGCAGAATGACAAATATTCTTTCTTTTTTTTTTTATCTTAATCATCAGGCTTTCTTGCGAAGTTTACAAACGTTGACTTGTTTTAAATCACATTTTGTTCAATTTCCTTTGAGTTATTTTGTTTTATTTTAGTAGGTGTTTTACAAAGCTCGTACTATAGTTGGTTGCATGAGTTCACGGGACACATATATATATATGAAACATTTTCAGTTTGGTTGGAATTTTGATTTTTGCCTGTGTGGCAGCCGAAGCCTTTTGGATCACCAAGGGACCTCCTAGATTTTCGTACTTTATTCAAAGAAGGCTAGACCGTGTTAGATCTTACCAACCTTAAGACAAGGGGTGTGGCTGAAAGACAGTAGTAGTAAGGAGCCAACAAGCAGTACAGTAGAGTAGAAAGGCTGCAGAAAGAGTCAGGAGCCCAGAGTAGGGAGCAGAAAGAGGAGACGGAAACAGACAACCGAATATGGTTAGCAAGCAGGAAAAGAGGTGAAAAGAGAAAACTAGACCTATAGAGAGGTCACTGTCAGGTTTCGAACGCGGGACCTATTCAATGAAAGTCGAACATCGTAACCTCTAAACCACGAGAGCCCCCGTTCTTTATTCTATGCAACAACTGGTGAACTTGAACTTTTAGCTATAATTTACTATAAAATATAACTCAGAAATTCTATCACATCATCCATAAGATGGTGATAGTGATCGCAATAAACCTAGCAAAAATAAACGAAAGGAATTTAAAAAGCGGAGTGTCTACGTACACGGTAACCAGGCACCTGGGGTCAATGTCTACGTACACGGTAACTGGCAACCGGGCACGTAGTCTCAGTGTCATGTACACGGTCACGGTAACCGGGCATGTAGCATCAATATCTACATACACAGTAACTGGCAACCGGGCATGGAGTCTCAGTGTCAGCAAAGACTATATATATAATTAAATATTCTCTGGTGTCACGTACACGGTAACCGGGCAGTAAAGAACTCAAAGTCCAGTTTTTGTCATCCGGTGTTGCCTTCATCCCCACCCCTCCCCTAACTGTACCTTTAAAAAAAAAAAAATCTCCCTCGCCCCATACTTCGCAGCACACAGACTTTAAATGAACTTTGGTGACCCCAACCGGTACTCACAACAATGTGATGCACCCGCACAGGTTCACTGACCGGTCACGATGGCGAGCCCGACAAGATGCTTCTTGTATGATTTTCTTTTTTTTTTAAACAAGTGACAGCACAGGACAAATATTGATTTATTTTCATTCCGTTTACCGTGTACGTAGATACTGAGACTAGGTGCCCGGTTACCGTGTGTGTAGATACTAAGACTAGGTGCCCGGTTATTGCGTACGTAGATACTGAAACTAGGTGCCCGGTTACCGTGTACGTAGCGTAGACACTCCGTTTAAAAAGATAGGCCAACTAACTCAGTAATTGTGGTTTTAATGACAATTGAAGACTACCTAAGAACTCGCACACAATCAGATTCTAGATTTAGAATAGGCCACCTCTATTCTCACCCGGAGTGAGAATAGTGCAGGCGAGTCTTGTGGCTATTCTCACCCGGTGCGCGTTCACCAAATTTTGCGTTCACCCTAAACCACAGAATTCTACACTGTGATAACAGAAAAATTGTAGAATTCTGTGCCGTGAACAAACGTTCCATTACAACTGTAGCCTACTAAAAGCGTACAATTTTGTCTGTGGGCAGTGGAGAGAGAGAGAGAGAAAGAGAGAGAGGAGTAGCGCGAGAATTTCTGGGCAAAACAAAATGGCGACCCGCGTAGTTCGGCTCGATTCGAAAAGTTAAATAGCCGTAGCATCTTTGTAGACAACCAAATTTATTTACTTTTGTGTTTTAACATCATTGTTTAACTTTGTTTTGGTCAATTTGATCGTCCACACCGATAGACAGTATTCAAAAATAGAGACGGAGAGAGAGAGAAGAGGGGAGGAGTTGATCTTGCGAGAACTTCCGGGCGGGTGAGAATAGCCACTTTCTTAGAATATATAGATCTAGTACTCACTGTTAAGTTACTCTTACTTTTAACTATGTATGCTACGCGTTATTTTTAAAAGATGGTTACTCCACAAGCAACTTTGCGTCAAACTTGTAATCAACAAAGAGTTAGATCTAGGCCAATGTGCTGCCTACAGCCTACAGTAAGTTGTAGCACATGATACTTTGACTTCAGAAGTTATCATAGTCAGTCGCAAGTCACAGTCACACACAAGAGAGTGTAGGCTTATCCTATGTTTTAGCCAAAGTAGTTTTCCAGGCACTCAATTCATTCTCATTGAATTCAATGGGCCTACTACACTAGAGATCTCTAGATTTCTAACTACACAACAAGACAAAAAAAGAGGCTGATGAATGAATCAAAAGTAAGATCCCTTGTCCTTGTTTAATAGACAGTATGGTCCTCCAATTCATGTGAGCAACGCTTTCAAGGACCTCTAAAGAGTACTGAAAAAGCCAAAAGCAGGTCCTTTACTTCACACGACGAAAGAGAACATGTTCGACAGATGGACGACAGAAAGTAAAGTTGTAAGCAAAGCCGAGACCCGATGCCGAGACTGAATTGAGCAATGAAGAGTAAGCCAGGCAGGTGGAAAGCCGAAGGCTTTTCGAGCAACATTGCTTATCTTAAAAAAGTGCATAACTATATCAACTTCACCTTAGTTAGTTGTTTTCAGCGTACCACCGACAAAGTTCATATCGACGTGAGCGAGTTAAAAATGACAGGTCAGTATAAAACTCAGTAAGTCAAGTGTTTAGTCAACAGGAAGACAGCACACATACTCCATGCTCAGTTTGATTACGTGGGACACTAGATAGAGACGTGCGAAACTAAAAAACACATTGTGTATTTTTTTTTACTGTTTATTTCTTTAAAGTTTCCTCAACTGATATAATATAGAAAGAAACCTTTTTTTATTATTCAAATATTTAAGTACTTTGTTTTGATGAGCATTCGAAAGTAATTTTCTACTATCAGATTTCTTTAATATAAACGAAAAATACCGTTGACCTAAACTTGTTAAAAATAAGAGAAAGTTTTCGTTAATTTTTGGCAAGTTGTAGTCTCGCCATTACCCGGAAGAGGGCGCTATTCGAAGCTCAGAGGGAAAACAATTTCGATATCCCAAAAGTATCGTGTTGGATTTTTGAGACTTTGAATATCGAGAGCACGACTTGTTTCGATACATTAGGCTAGCTAGGCCTAAATCAACCGACTAAGCTCCTTTAAATAAAAATAGATAATAGATAGCATTTGTATAGCGCATATCCCCGCTCAACAGCAGGCTCTATGCGCTTTACACTATATTATTACCCCAGCAGACCATAGAACACTCCGAAACATTCT